TGGCATTCTAAAAAAAGGTAATTTTAGAATCCGGAGCGATTCATACTTGAAGCACCGGTGGAACGCTTGTACCCGTGGGTAGGGAGCGCTCGGATTGTCGATGGGTCGGCTCGTCATGCAGTAGTGACTCATACTGATGGTACCAATGTGGATGTCGCACTTCAAGTTTGTGGTTTTCTTTTTATCTCATAATAATTTTTATTGTGGCCATCCCTCGCTTGCTTTTACGTCCTAGCTTGTGACCTTAGATACAAATTCAACTTTTTGCTCCTGACACATCTCTGTCTCTCCTTATATATGGTCTTTCTGAAGCCTTTTTTGGATAATTTTATCTTAAACAGTCAGAAGTCTGTTGAAGATAATCGACGCTTTCCTCCATGGTCTTCATAAACTAGTCTGACATAGTTTGTATTTTAAGCTTCACGACGAGACGTGCAGCTTATCGTTTGTGCACGATTTTTCAAAAGTGGACGACTTCTCGGGAACGATAATTGTTGATTTCAAATCGAATCGCTTCTTCAATCTAACTGTGTATAATGCTACTGGAATCTTGCATGGTACAGTCAAGAAGACGGCCGACAAAAACAGCATCGACGAATTCTAGTGAGCCGTCTATATATTACTAATTTGACGCTTCCAGCCTCATGGGCTTAATAACTTGAGAAATCTCCTATGACAAAAATTGGAAAATTTTTGGCTCATAGTTTAGGCGATCTAGATTCACTGCTGCGGTAGCACTCCTACATATGATCAGAGTGTAGTCTATAGTTAGCAATCAAGATCTCTATTATTGGCAAATCTGTGTTATTGTACTAGACAAAATGTCCTTGAAACCAGCTTTTTTTTTTATTCAGAATAGTTTATTGTTCCCCCTGTGCCTGTGCTAGTGCCTTGTAATTTGCAATATGCCTGTAATCTTCTTCAGCTTCACGGCTTACATCAGTGAACCGCGGAGTGCGAACAAGACCTTGATCGTGCCTTTGCCAGCCCTGATTGGTGGCAGCGATCGGATGATTTGTCTTCGAGCAGATGACGATTCCAGTGAAAGCGAGGTCTGCAGGGTGGTGATATTCAAGGAAGTTCCTCTTGAGGTGTTCACAAATTCATCATTATCAACTGCTCATTTGAGTGGAAACCGACTGCTGTTTTGGCTATAAGCATTTTTTTGAGTTTTTGCACGTTATGCAAATGCTATTGCTGCCAAACATTACCAATAAGCGTTGAAAAACTGAACACATAAAAAATGCGACTTCAGCACGCAAAAAAATCTTGCATTGGCTTTGGAGCACTTCTGCGTATCCGAATTGACTTGTGCTTCTTTCGCACACACACTCACTCCATTGCCCACAAGTATATATGTTCTGCTTTAGCTTCTTTCTTTTTTGGCCACTTTACTGCTTCTAAGTAACAGAACCATATGCACGATCAAAACAAAAGCAATCATTTTATCCAGTCTGTTAAATTCGTTCGTTCTGGGCAGTGAACTGGTAATGGTGCATGCCAAAAAATCAAATTTGTCATTACCGTTCTTATATGCAACACTCGGAAGAGGAAGCCATTACATTTCACATTTTATCCAATCGCTAAGCAAGACGCACATATACTTACGTAACAGATGCTATGCGCTTAGTGCACAGGAAGCAAATCACAAAAGAAACAAAAGCACAGCGAATACTCACGGCGTTTAAGATCAGCGCAACGGAAATTTAGCAGCTTCAGACATATCAACAGATGGTTGTTGTTGTTGCCACTTGAGCTAATTTGCAAGTGCCTTTGACTCTTACAGAAAGTGAATACAGAGATGGTTGTAATTTATGGCTGATATGAGTCGCTTGTTTATTTTTGTGCTAAGAAGTCAGTTACTGAGAATGCACTGATTGCAGATCAATCTGCTTGAGAACACGTGGAGAGAGATCGACGGCCATTGTCCTGATTGTAATAAATTAACGGTGAATGGTTTTCTAAGCAATCTGAATCCGATGAACTGGGCTACCGGTATTTCATCCATCTCAAACTTTGTTATGATGCTAACCGATGTTATTATTTATATTATTGTATTACTTGTTGTATATTTTCTACTCACCAGGTGCTTGATACCTTTGTGTAGGTGTACGCTTTGCTTTCCACCTTCTCCGTTTTGCTGTAGTTTTAGCTTACCAAGGTATAAAGCGAAGGATGTTCAGCATCCGTGAGACATGCCTGTTAAACTCTCACAGTCTTAATTCTTGCATTTCGGATGGCGTTCACGATTTCTCGTCAAAAAAGCAAACTAATATGAATTTGAATTGCGTTGAGATTGTGAGTCAGAAAAATTTTTCCATTTTATCGAAACTGTATGTCTTCAAAGTCTTGCTGCAAATGCAGCAAGATTCGGATCTCTAGAAATTTTATATTTCACTTATTTATGTTCCCAGGATTTTTTTAGACGGGCCCGCATCTTCCAGAAACTGTCATGTTGAGTATAAGCACAATCAATTTTTTAGCTTTCCCCTTCATTTACCAGCTCATTTTTTGCGCGAAAAATAGCAACAGTGAAAAACGGAACTCAAGAATCAAAATCCCTTCTTATTCACTTTCTGTGAGCGTCAAAAGTACTCGGAACTAGCCTGATTAATAAAGTGTGCCAACGATAGCAGCCATTGGCAAGATTGTCGATGGCTTCCTCCTCAAAGAGTTGCTTAGAAACAAAAAATGGTAGGTTGACTTCCTAACGCGAACCAGTACCAATTCTCCGTCGAAGTGAATAAACAAATCAATGGGAATTGTTGCCTTACTGTACATCTCGACCTTCAGCATGAGAGGTGGAATGTTTTTCATTGCGTGTCCCTACCTGAAGCGGGGGGAATGAATTTTAATTGTCTTATGCCTTTAGAAAGCACAAAACAATTATGCGCTTTCTGAAGAAGTGCCTCTTTTAGTTACTGTGAGGTTTTAAGTGATCTCTGCTTTAGTACTTGTAGATTTTGTTTGTAGTGTGTGAATCAAAAATTGCGGTCGTTGAATTAGCAGATTCAGAAAGCCTGGTTTTTTTTTTTCTATTGTGTAAGACAGTTTGAAGGAACTTGTCCAGAAAATTTCAATTTATGTGATTTGAATTGCGGGTACTCGTTGTTCTTTTTCCTTTTTCTTCAATTTTGCTTCTTATAAAAATTGTTATTTCATCTGTGATTTTTTGAAGTGCCTATGTTACTTCTTTTGTTTTGTGCCTTTACTGCCAAATGTGTTGCTTTCGTCTCGTTTTTTGTGTCCTTGGATGAAAACTGTTAAATTTTCTTGAAACGGTGGCATGTTCACTCGCAGCGAGGAAAGAATGAATAAAAAAGTGCTAATTTTTGTACCGAAAAATTCATCAACTTCTCCAAATACCCCCACCATTTACTAAATCATTTGATTTCAGCCTTAAAGTTTTTCTTTGTAACTTGGCCTGCTTGATGCCCCTTACGCTTTTAACAGTAGTGTAGAAATGAACGGCTCCGAAAAATGGTAAGGTGTACAAGTAAATAGTGCATACTTTTGTTTGACTTGACCAGAAGTAATTTTGAAAGAAAGGCGTTGAAATTTTGGTTTTTGTTTTTCCAAAATTACTGAGAATTGGAGGGCCCAGCACTGCTATTCTGGCGTGCGAGAGCATCATGAAATATTTTCTTACAGATGTTATGAACAGCTGATTGCATAAGTAAGAAACTGAACAGTTATTACATCTATGCTTAGCTAAAGAATATTAAAAAAAAGCTTCTAAATTAACAGTTCTTGCGGCTTCCTAGTTTTTTGCAAAGTTTTTTAAGACATACTTTCCTATATTACAGCATCTCGGGCATTAACCATTCACATGTTCTTTCCACTTTACGAAATGTATGATTTGTGTGTGCAGTGATCGAGGGCGCGATGATGGCACACATTTGCTCGGAGGATGGCGTGGATTTATCTGCGTTCTGGATACACGGCAGTGAACAACTATGCTCAGCATAGGTTCAGCGCTGGTCATCTTAGGAGCTGTGATTAAACTGACTGGTTAGCTTTCGCCGACTTTCTTTTGTTTCTGTATTTGCTCATTATAGCTAAAGCTATCAATTAAAGTCATCCTCAGTTCATGAACAAATGGGATTTAAGAAGTATGGTCCGAATGTATTGATGCCTCCCCCACTCACTCGTCCATCTATCACGTAGCCCTGGACTCAGCGGAACTCGCAATTCACTGTTAGATTCCCATTCTTTATCCGAGATGGAGAAGCAAACTGAAATGAATACATAAGAATAATAGGGGAAAGGGAGATCACTCAGCGATTCAAATAAATACTGATTAGTGTTTGATTTGC